TGTGGTAAGGGGTGTGTGTGTGTGTGTGTGTGTGTGTGTGTGTGTGTGTTGGGGGGCAGGACAGGCCGGGTGCACACCTGAGGGGCTCAGCATGGGGGTCTAGGGACAGTTGGGTCCCTGAGGCGACTCCATCCACAGCAGGCTCAGAGGCTTTTCCTGTGTTCTGGAGCTCTCAGCTATGTCACATGGTCTTCATCAAGAGGTGATGTTTGTCCAGTTGTCATGGAAACATTTAATCAGATTTTAATGTTTACGGTTGCATTTAGCTGTTTTGACCCCCCGTCGTCGACGTGCACCATCATTACAGATTCATCTGTGGATTATTTTATCAGTGAACAGTTTTAAAATTTTAGAAAACACTTAAAAATACTCGGCTTTATTTTCTTAAATGTCTGAGACAGTGGGAATATTTGATAGGTTTTAGTTTGAAAAATGTAAATTAGTGCTGATATAAACTCACTAATGAGGCCACTGGACCCACTCTGTTACCTTCTGTACACAGTTCACTGCATGTTGCGTTTGTTTGGAGCTGCTGCAGGGTCAGGGCACGGCCTGTGCACGGCCTGTGCACAGCTCACATGGCGCACACACACTCCTGTTTTTATTTATTTATTCTCCCTTTTCTTGCCTCATCTGCAGTTTTGTTTCTGGAGTTTAAAGATAAACTGAGATTTGTTGTCAGGAAACATTGATGTTGATGATGATGATGTTTTCAAGACGGGTTAAATAAATAAACATAAGAAAAAACAAATGTTTAAAATTCATCCGGTGCGATGAGCGTCCATGACAACTGGTCAAAGTCTGTTTGCTGAGGAAGCTTCTGGATTCTGGCTGAAAGCTCCACAGCAGCTGCTGAATGTACATGAGGCCACTCGTGACTCTGGCTGACACAGCATCAGCAGCCTGCTCCAGTGCTGTAGGCCGCTGTTCGACTGGTTCAGTGACGGCAGAGCTGCTGATCGGTGTTGGGCTGCGACAACACTTCCTGTTAAGATGCATCACAATTAAAGCCTTGCATTTGGTTGAGGGCTTTTAATTTGAAAGGCTGACTTGTACAGACAGCAGCTTCACAGCGAGTGGAAGCATCTGGTGAAGGTAAATGGATGAAATGAGGTTTCTGTGGCGTGACTGACACTCTGGGGTCAACGCTGTTGGATGTACTGTAGTGTTGTTGATTTGAACTTTTACT